CATAGCTGAGCATTCAGATTCATTATAGAAATATAGGTCTACTAACGAAATAGGTTTATTGTTTTAATATAAGACGCACCAGCGCATTACATTATTGTCCCCGAAAATGTCTCCGTTTATATTACATCATATTTAATTTAGAAAACACAATGTGTCAATGTTAAATACGACCTTGGGTAGTTGCACCCTGGCACTAATTATCACGGAATTGATTACAATCTCCGTCAACAGATAAAGACAGATAAGTTAGAATAATCGTGAACATATGAGTCTTTGATTCTACCGAATATTACAGAGGTGGTACTTTTTCGGGAATTCCTGCTATCATATTTTATTAGTAATTGCGCTTTGGTAATATTCGAGGCAATTTAATGAATATATGGCCGAACAGAATGTAATAAAAACTATAAAACCATAAATGTATATGATTTTACAAACTAAATAAAACACAGAAGGAAATTTATTGAAACTAAACATTACTTTTAAAGGTCACGTTGTAAACGTCTAATAATCTAGTTGATAACAAGATAACACGTGCATTAAATGTGACGTGCATGACGGAATGTTTTTTTTAAATAGCCTTCCACGACGCACCTGTAAAAGATTGCAAGTTTGAAATATGACGTCTATTATATATTCATTCTCATAATGCAAAATAAGGTTATTTCAGTACGCGAAATAAAAAGTTAGGTCTCTATTCCGCGGAAGACTTAACGGGTTGCCGGGCTCCGGTTCGAAGTGCAGGAGTAGGAACGGAGTAGTTTTTAGTCAGTAAGAGTCTGACACTTCCTCTCGCCTCACCCGGGCGGGAGAAGTCATTGGATGATTTTCCCACCTCAAAAAAAAGGAGCCCTATTTTCGAAAATTACGAATATGGATACGCTTTTATAAAATCATCACGCACGCACACGCTATCAAAATCTAGACACACATGTGTCTCCCTATCAGTATCAAAAATATCAGACGGTCGTAAAAAGGTATAATTTTGTTTCTAAGGATATCATGTGAAAAATATGTTGAAATCTAGCCAATATACGACTCCTGGTAGTAATAAATCATTCCCTCATAACCCATATCGTAAATGACAGGTAGCCGGTAGCGTGACAGGGCAAAAGCCTATATTTTTTGAAAAATCCAAATAATGTAGAGTATAATAAAATATTACAATAAAATCTAGTGCAGCAATAAAACCAAAAGATAAGATACAATTAACAAGAAATCAATAAAAAATACTTTGCAAAACAAATAAAAGAAAGAAAGCAGTTTAAATTGCGTCCTAAATTATATGACACAATTATTTAAACAAATAGATATTAAAATAGAGAAAAATGCCAATAGTGACAAGTTCGTAGCAAAGTTACTACGCCGTAGCCAGTCTACGAAGTTACGCTACGAAGTTGTCTTAAATTATACTTTATTCACCTAGGAATATATGCAGATATATTGTGTAAGTATATGTATAAAAACGAATACTAGTTTACCAAAATAAATCTATTAATACCGCACTTATTTTTTTCTTTGTCTGCTTGAAAGTATATATTTTACCTCACCTGGAAGCAGAACAGAATCTTACAAATACTTACTTGTAACAGAATTAACTAACGATTTAAAAAAAAACAAATATAATACATCGAAGCAATAAAGGGGGCACATGAAATGACTGATTGACATTCCTATTCTAGATATTAATCTCTAATTAATGTAAACAAGGTATTAGTACTACTGTGTTTGGAGACTTTGGCAGACGATAACAGCTTAACAGCTAGACCTTTTTAATGATCATTTAAATGCAGACATAATAAAAACAAAATGAAACCAGAATATTGATATCAAGATAGATAAATCCTACTTGCATGTAAACAAGCGTATTATAATGTTTTATTGCACTTCGGGGAAGTGCACACATTACCCGTCGTTCACCGACTTTAATCACAAGTCAGAACATTGCCCATTACCTATATTGTACTTAGAATTGTTGGTACTCCAACAGAGTATTTTTCTGTAAAAATTATAAAACAATAAACGTTGTCCCAGACTAGGATTTTGAACCTAACAGGTAACCGGGGCTCCGGCTCGACGTGCAGGAGAAGGAACGGAGTGGTTTTTAGTCAGTAAGAGTCTGACACTCCCTCCCGCCTCACCCAGGCGGGAGCAGTCATTCGATGATTTTCCCCCGTTAAAAAAAAAGACTAGGATTTTCTGCATATATATCGTGTATTTTTTTACACACATATTACACAAGTCAACATATATCATGTATTTCTTTCCAGCTAAAATAATAAATATTTTTAATAGAACTAAACATTATTCTTATTCTTATTCTTTAACAACCTTATTCTTCAAAGAAATTCATTTTTATTTATGTAGATTACACAAAATCTAGAAGTGATAGATATACAATTTCTACAAAGATTATACTCGTTGTAGTTATATCGTTCTATGACAAAAAAAGGTGTATACCAATTTAAAAAAAATGGATTTCTGGGATTTAAAAAAAGTCATTTTTTGTAGACTTTTGTTATTAATATAATAATCATAATAAATAATTTATTCAAAAAATATAAACAGAAATTTTATATGTATTTCTTAATTCTATATTCTTATTGCTATGATATGTTATTGCATGACGTATCATATACGATATATGTCATATATGTCTTGTATATATATACAATACGTTTTACTTCCTGGAACTTGAACGGTTCAACTGTTATGATAGATTTTCAACTTTATTACAAAATTAAAAATACGTTACGAAACGCATTCCAAACGTAAATTGCGTCCAATAGGACAGATAAAACCAGTTTTGCATGACCATGAATATTTTGGCTATATTAATATTAGTACAACAATGCATTCCGCTGTTTATCTTATATCCTTGAAACCGGCATTAACCTGGTATCTATGTAGTACGGACTAATTCTTGGCAGTATTAGAACAGGGGAAATACTTATTTACACAGATCAAAGGCCACGTCAATATGTATACATCATAATCAAGAGTAGGCTTAGGTAATAAAGATAACATCAATATTAAAATTCAATGCTCTTCACATAAATAAACACCAATATTATCTAATTGAAATAATATTGAAACTGAAAGGTAATGAAAAAGACACGAAGAAAATTAACGAACGGTTTTTTTATTTAAACAGGTGTTTTATTTTAACTTACTTTAGTAACAATATGCTCACCGGATTTCTAATGGTAAGCGGTCACCGCAGCATGGGACCACCACCCTATTACATGGGACTTATAACGTAAATAGTGAAAATTGGTGCTTACATTGTACAGTTGCATAATGTGCATCTCTGTCTACCCCTTCGAGGATAAAAAGGCGTGATGTTATGGTATGTGCGTATTTTTTAATCAATACCTAAATAAAAATGTACTTAACAGTTTACTTTTAGTAAAATAAAGATTTATTGTTAAGAACTTAGTTGAAAAGTATTTGACTTTATGACTCTACGACGACGAAGAGGACGAGAAGGTGTCTTGAAATTTTATGCAAAGATCCAGAAAAAGGCTATCTATCGTTCAGACTATAAGGAGGAAGCGGGACGCGTGAGGAAGTTTACATAAATGATATTGTAAATACGCATCACGAAAACATACTTGCAAACTACTTGATCTAAAATCTGAAAGGACATTATGTATCAAATAGGGTAGTTGACTAAATTTTATTTTAACTTTCGTTTTAATGTGACGTCACGATCTACTTACAGGATAGCGTCACGTAGCGACCTCCCACTACTAAATTGTTTTCTTAAACGACAAAAGAAAAAACATGTATCTAATATTTTTTCGGACGAACTAATTACATTTTTAATTTTCATACACTGTCTACTACCCTATTATTAGGTGCATTCCGAATTAGACCATACGAATATTTTACTTCGGGAAGACATGCAAACAAGGAATCGTAGTAATTGGCGTTCCATAGTCTCTGTCTACTCCCATGGGAGACAGGCGTGAAGTTATGTATGTATTATGTAAACGTGCAATCTCTATGAGAAGATATCCAGCTTAGAGTTTGGTGTAAACCGCTTACCACCAGGCTATTTGGTGGCCCACCGTACCGCCCACCTAATTAATATACCTACTTGCAAAAGATCCCTTTAGATTATAGATGTCTGATTGATTGATATCTGTAGTCGTTGTAATTTGTATGGGTATTAACGATGATCTATTTCTATGTACATGCGAAGGACACTCTGGGCGTCGGGGATCGCGAGACGATCTCCGGCCACCGTAAGCGCGGGCCTGCGGAGGGCGAGCATGGGTGGCTCGCCGCCCGACCAGAACTAGACCCGAGCGCTCGGCGCGTCGCGTTCCGCGTGCGCCTCAAAGAGCCATCAGACCACCACGGATGGGGCCCAATAGGGCTGATACCGATTCGGAGTCGTGGAGAACCTAACGGGTTACCGGGGCTCCGGCTCGACGTGCAGGCGAAGGAACAGGGTGGTTTTTAGTCAGTAAGAGTCTGACACTCCTTCCCGCCTCACCCAGGCGGGAGCAGCCATTCGATGATTAGCCCTCCTTAAAAAAAATCTATGTAGGTACATATTTATCCAATTTTTAAATTCCAACGAACATGCAAGGCTAGTAAATTTTAACACAGGTAATGAAATTCATATCTATAGGCAACATCACATCACATCACTTAAAAAAATGTAATACTGTGTAAATATTGATTTGCCAGAAAAATTTTTTTTTTTTTTAGTTTTTTATAATAATAACACGTAAAATCAAGGAGGAGGTTCACCGGTCTTCGACAAACTAATGCACCTCATGCATCTCACAGTTCATCGAACACTATCCATTTATCTTTTGCTACTATCATCAGTACGCCTGACCGATTCTTTTGTCATTAGCGACGATTATTGAAAAAATAAACGTTCAAGCTAATCGGTATAAATCAGTGTTTCAATTTAATCAAACTGATTATCAGTTCTGAATAATATTCAAAACAGGGGAACGCGTATAAATATTTGTGCAATCAATTAGTCCGTATCAGTTCAAGTGCAACACTCACAAAAAAAACAGAGTCTCATTGGATCTTTTAAATGAAAGGTAAGTGTCGTGAAATGTGCTACTTCTTACAATCGAATAATCGAAGTGTTAATTAGTTATTAACTCGATAGTTACACTTTATTGTGATATTGCAAACATTCCCTTTGAAATCTTTCGAAAGTGAGTGTGGATCCTCAGTGCATTTAAGGTTTCGTCTTTTCAAATCATGTTATATACAGAAATCAAGTGCAATAGTGAACTTATGATGTGGACTATATTTTTTGTGTTGAATTCAGATTTATATATAACTATCAATTAACAAGACTACAGGTTACGTACAAAGCCGTGTGGAATTGTAGTTTTAAAATATGTAAATTTATTTATTAATATAAAGATTTTTTTCGGTGAGCCCTCTTACCCGGAAACAATAGTGCTATTATATATACGTATTAAACAGATTCTTACATTGCACAAAAAATGCGATCCTTTTAGTGCCCTAAGGTATTAATGATAGTGTACTTAGACAACCTGCTTGTCCGTTTACCATTTAATTAGGCAGAAGGTGTGCCAACATTATACATGCTTCGTACGCATACATACGATATAATCGTAACAATCCAAACAGCCTACACGCCTTTTTAGTAAAACTGTAGGTACAGTTCAACTGTTTGCTCTACATACTTAAGATTAAACAATACACTTCGAATGTACAGTTAAAAATGCACAGTTAAATCATAAGGTCTGTAGCCGCTATTATGGCAGTCAAATTTCGCTTGTTTTCGAAACCGACCATAAACCGTCTTGCTTTCCAAACTTACGATTAAATATAACTGATATTTGTAAATATACAATTTTCACCAAAAAATCCATTTAAGTAGTACTACGTGATACTTTAGATAACAATAAAGGATAACATGTTAAGATGAATCTTAAAAATTTATTTTATTTAACTAAATTAACTAAAATCGCAGGTTACTCACGTGAATATACTGATAAAAGCTCTACTAGTTTCGAACCACAGAGGGATGAATTTATTTTATTGTTAGCAAGAATTAACAAATAAATAAATGGTTAGCTTCAAACATTACAGTACTTATTAACTCTTATATTAAAAGCTCATTATTTATTTGCAGTAAAATGGTAAATCAGTTTCACATATCATTTAATTACTTGATATGATAAGCATCCGATCGTATCTTTATATACTTGTATACTAGGTATATACATTTACTTATCACAGCTAGTCACCTTATTTTATAAATACATACTGATAAATCGTAAAGGATGAACCGATTAACCATTCATTGTTGAATAATACATTAAAATATTTGTTTCAGACACCGTATTATTACTGCTATGTGCAGTTGCACTAGCACATACTTACGATCGTAACTCAGAACAATGCAATTGCGATCCTTCACAAGCTAAACAGATCTGCGAGTTTCACATTGATTCAGACGATGTATTAGTAGCTCACGAAAATTGCGACAAATTCTACAAATGTGCAAACGGAAAGCCAGTGGCATATCAATGCCCAGATAATCTTCTGTACGATCCGGTAGTTGAACGATGTGAGTGGCCCTATATGGTTGAATGTGGCGACAGGCCAATTTCAGATGGTAATGACTGCAACGGAACCGATACATCGTCAACAACACAGGTACCAGTCACATCTCCATCCTCTTCTTCAACTTCACGGCCAGGTGATGGAACCTGCAACTGCAGACCCGACGAGGCACCTTCTATCTGCGCAGCGGACGGATCAGATGGCGTTTTAGTGGCACATGAAAACTGCAACCAGTTCTACAAATGCGACCACGGAAAACCTGTTGCTCTCTTCTGCAACGGAAACTTGCTATACAACCCCTACACCGAACAATGTGACTGGCCCGAAAATGTCGACTGCGGAGACAGAGTTATTCCTGATCCAATTCCAACTGCAAATCCAGGATCGTCTCCGACCCCATCACCATCAACTCCAGGTAGTGGAACCTGCAACTGCAGACCCGACGAGGCACCTTCTATTTGCGCAGCGGACGGATCAGATGGCGTTTTAGTGGCACACGAAAACTGCAACCAGTTCTACAAATGCGACCACGGAAAACCTGTTGCTCTCTTCTGCAACGGAAACTTGCTATACAACCCCTACACCGAACAATGTGACTGGCCCGAAAATGTCGACTGCGGAGACAGAGTTATTCCTGATCCAATTCCAACTGCAAATCCAGGATCGTCTCCGACCCCATCACCATCAACTCCAGGTACAGGAACCTGCAACTGCAGACCCGACGAGGCACCTTCTATTTGCGCAGCGGACGGATCAGATGGCGTTTTAGTGGCACACGAAAACTGCAACCAGTTCTACAAATGCGACCACGGAAAACCTGTTGCTCTCTTCTGCAACGGAAACTTGCTATACAACCCCTACACCGAACAATGTGACTGGCCCGAAAATGTCGACTGCGGAGACAGAGTTATTCCTGATCCAATTCCAACTGCAAATCCAGGATCGTCTCCGACCCCATCACCATCAACTCCAGGTACAGGAACCTGCAACTGCAGACCCGACGAGGCACCTTCTATTTGCGCAGCGGACGGATCAGATGGCGTTTTAGTGGCACACGAAAACTGCAACCAGTTCTACAAATGCGACCACGGAAAACCTGTTGCTCTCTTCTGCAACGGAAACTTGCTATACAACCCCTACACCGAACAATGTGACTGGCCCGAAAATGTCGACTGCGGAGACAGAGTTATTCCTGATCCAATTCCAACTGCAAATCCAGGATCGTCTCCGACCCCATCACCATCAACTCCAGGTACAGGAACCTGCAACTGCAGACCCGACGAGGCACCTTCTATTTGCGCAGCGGACGGATCAGATGGCGTTTTAGTGGCACACGAAAACTGCAACCAGTTCTACAAATGCGACCACGGAAAACCTGTTGCTCTCTTCTGCAACGGAAACTTGCTATACAACCCCTACACCGAACAATGTGACTGGCCCGAAAATGTCGACTGCGGAGACAGAGTTATTCCTGATCCAATTCCAACTGCAAATCCAGGATCGTCTCCGACCCCATCACCATCAACTCCAGGTACAGGAACCTGCAACTGCAGACCCGACGAGGCACCTTCTATTTGCGCAGCGGACGGATCAGATGGCGTTTTAGTGGCACACGAAAACTGCAACCAGTTCTACAAATGCGACCACGGAAAACCTGTTGCTCTCTTCTGCAACGGAAACTTGCTATACAACCCCTACACCGAACAATGTGACTGGCCCGAAAATGTCGACTGCGGAGACAGAGTTATTCCTGATCCAATTCCAACTGCAAATCCAGGATCGTCTCCGACCCCATCACCATCAACTCCAGGTACAGGAACCTGCAACTGCAGACCCGACGAGGCACCTTCTATTTGCGCAGCGGACGGATCAGATGGCGTTTTAGTGGCACACGAAAACTGCAACCAGTTCTACAAATGCGACCACGGAAAACCTGTTGCTCTCTTCTGCAACGGAAACTTGCTATACAACCCCTACACCGAACAATGTGACTGGCCCGAAAATGTCGACTGCGGAGACAGAGTTATTCCTGATCCAATTCCAACTGCAAATCCAGGATCGTCTCCGACCCCATCACCATCAACTCCAGGTACAGGAACCTGCAACTGCAGACCCGACGAGGCACCTTCTATTTGCGCAGCGGACGGATCAGATGGCGTTTTAGTGGCACACGAAAACTGCAACCAGTTCTACAAATGCGACCACGGAAAACCTGTTGCTCTCTTCTGCAACGGAAACTTGCTATACAACCCCTACACCGAACAATGTGACTGGCCCGAAAATGTCGACTGCGGAGACAGAGTTATTCCTGATCCAATTCCAACTGCAAATCCAGGATCGTCTCCGACCCCATCACCATCAACTCCAGGTACAGGAACCTGCAACTGCAGACCCGACGAGGCACCTTCTATTTGCGCAGCGGACGGATCAGATGGCGTTTTAGTGGCACACGAAAACTGCAACCAGTTCTACAAATGCGACCACGGAAAACCTGTTGCTCTCTTCTGCAACGGAAACTTGCTATACAACCCCTACACCGAACAATGTGACTGGCCCGAAAATGTCGACTGCGGAGACAGAGTTATTCCTGATCCAATTCCAACTGCAAATCCAGGATCGTCTCCGACCCCATCACCATCAACTCCAGGTACAGGAACCTGCAACTGCAGACCCGACGAGGCACCTTCTATTTGCGCAGCGGACGGATCAGATGGCGTTTTAGTGGCACACGAAAACTGCAACCAGTTCTACAAATGCGACCACGGAAAACCTGTTGCTCTCTTCTGCAACGGAAACTTGCTATACAACCCCTACACCGAACAATGTGACTGGCCCGAAAATGTCGACTGCGGAGACAGAGTTATTCCTGATCCAATTCCAACTGCAAATCCAGGATCGTCTCCGACCCCATCACCATCAACTCCAGGTACAGGAACCTGCAACTGCAGACCCGACGAGGCACCTTCTATTTGCGCAGCGGACGGATCAGATGGCGTTTTAGTGGCACACGAAAACTGCAACCAGTTCTACAAATGCGACCACGGAAAACCTGTTGCTCTCTTCTGCAACGGAAACTTGCTATACAACCCCTACACCCAACAATGTGACTGGCCCGAAAATGTCGACTGCGGAGACAGAGTTATTCCTGATCCAATTCCAACTGCAAATCCAGGATCGTCTCCGACCCCATCACCATCAACTCCAGGTAGTGGAACCTGCAACTGCAGACCCGACGAGGCACCTTCTATTTGCGCAGCGGACGGATCAGATGGCGTTTTAGTGGCACACGAAAACTGCAACCAGTTCTACAAATGCGACCACGGAAAACCTGTTGCTCTCTCCTGCAACGGAAACTTGCTATACAACCCCTACACCGAACAATGTGACTGGCCCGAAAATGTAGACTGTGGTGACAGAGTTATTCCAGATTCGAGCCAAACTTCATCACCATCTCCTGACTCCGAGAGCAGCGAAAGCTCTGATATCGATGATTTACCTAGACCTGATGATAACGTTAGCAGTTCAGAAGACTGTACTAGTAACCCAAACGACAACACCTGTAACTGTGATCCTGATCAAGCTCCATCTATTTGTGCTAGTGCTAACTCCAACGGAATTCATATTGCCCATGAAAATTGTAACCAGTTTTACAAATGTGATAACGGACAGCCTGTTCCGTTCAGGTGTCCTTCCAATCTGCTATACAATCCCTTCATTCCAGGGTGTGACTGGCCACATAATGTGAATTGCGGTGATAGAATAATACCTGATCCTGACGATACAAGTGAAGGCCCACAACCAACTGTGCCTGATGATAATAACGACAACGTTGGTCCTGGCCCGTGTAACCACTGTAATCCAGAAGAAGCTCCTGCAATTTGTGCAGGTACAAACTCTAATGGTATTTACATTGCTCACCAAAATTGCAACCAATTCTTCGTGTGTGACCATGGTACACCTGTTACCTTTTCATGTAACTCAATTCTTCTATATAACGTCTACACCAAGCAGTGCGACTGGCCATTTAACGTGGATTGTGGTGACAGAGTGATACCAGATCGCGACGACGATAGCGGAATCGACGATGGAGGCAACAACAACAATAACAACGAAGTGCATGACGATCCTAGCCAAGCTCCATCCGTATGTGCGGGCAGTGGATCTGATGGCGTTTTGGTAGCACATGAATACTGTGACCAATATTACATTTGTGACGGAGGCTTCCCACTATCACGCCCATGCTACGGTGGCCTTTTATTCAATCCTCAGAATCAACAGTGCGACTGGCCTAGTAATGTAAATTGTGGTAACAGAATTGTCCCTGATGATTGTGCTTGCAATCCAAGAAACGCTCCAAAGCTTTGTTCTTGGCAAAATTCTGAAGGGAAACTGATCGCGCACGATAATTGTAACCAATTCTATGTATGCTCTAAGGGAGTTCCTGTAGCTCAAACTTGTCCATCCAACTTGCTATATAACATAGACTTGGAACTGTGCGACTGGCCGCATAAGGTCAGCTGTGAAAACAGACAGCTCTCTTATTCCTCACTTAACAAACATTGGCCATCACGTCAGTTTCTTAGAACATAATCTTTAAATTAACAATACCCTGCTTTACAGTCGGGTAACTAGTAAGTTATGCTTAAACGTGCTGTCAAAATTGAATGATATAAATCAGTATTTATAGTGATTGTTAGACTGGATATTTAAATTTAACAGTATTGTTTTCTGTTTGTCTAAATTGAAATATATAATATATAATACGTAATAACAAAAAGTGGTTTTGTTTTTCTTATAAATTAATATCATCCAAGTATCTGGGGGCGCGGCAATGCCCCCACCAAGTCGAGCGCTAAGCAAACACTGCCATTCCATCCTTTACTGGAACCATTTCGCCGCATTTTCAGGCTCCTATTTGAGAAACTTTGGATAAAACCATAACGCAGAAATTGTCATTATGCAGTAAGCTATAATAACATACTTAAAATCCAAAATTTCTAGTCTGTAAGTCATTTAGTTTCAAAGTTATTGGAAAGCAAAGTTTCGCATTTATGACACTCGCTCACTCACTCACTCATGATCATGAAAATAGAACTGGTACTTGCCATAAACTCAGAGAGCTGAAATTTGGTACAGAGTTAGATTTTAATGGCCACATTAAGAGAAAACTATAATAACTAGGATAATCAAAGATCTGGAGTAACTGGTGACCTTGATTAGGAACCAAAAGAGCCCAACCAAACTATTATAGATAGAGATTGACATGTACTGCCTTTACAAAAAATATTCAACTTGGTGGGCCACTTCATTTGATGTCAAAAATTGAAGATGGGAAGAATCTGATGAAGAATCACCATTCTTCATTATTCAGATTGACAAATAAATCTATTGAAATACACGTTTATAACTTGACATGGGTACATACAATTAATATTAACTATAACTAAATGAAAATATATACAACTTAAAATATAAATAACTATGAACTAAAATATTTACACCTTAAAAAAAAGGTAATAATAAATAAATAAGCTATAATAAGGCATCAAAAAAAAAATTTTCCTCATCATTATCGTTCCATTCTTCATTTAATTCTTACTTCGCTAACAGCCCGGCGTTCGCCGGGCTTCCCCCCCCCCTCGAGCGCGGCTCCTAGCGGCGCCCCCGCTAGACACGACCATGCCTCGCCGTTGCCCGGTTAGAGCGCGGCTCGTGGCGGGGCAAACCACCGGACCCGACACCACATCGGGCTCCGCGAGGAGTCCGACTATTCCAACATCTCGCCTGCTATAGCAGGCAGCGAACGAATCCGCCGAGACAGGCATCAGCCTGGATCTTGCGTCGTCGCACCACCTCATATCCTAATGGCATAACTTACAAAATTGTAAATTAAGTATCTATTAGGTTTTCATTAATAATTTTGTATAGAATTTATGGCGCCACCTTCTAACCTATCAGTAGGTGGGTAACCTATCAGTACTAATAGTAGGTAGGTAGTTATTTTTTGCTTTTTAGTTTTGACTTTTTGTTTGTTATTAGTTTTCGGTTTTTTAAACGCAGTTTTTATTTTCAACGTCCTTGGTCCCAGCATTTTAACGCATAGTTCCCGTTCTTCTGGGATTCCCAGGATTATTATGGTACTATTACATGGGACTCATAACAAAAAAAAAATAGTGAAAAGAGGGTGTTACATTGTACAGTGGCCTTAAGTGCCGTAATGTATACTCTGCCTACCCCTTCGGGGATAAAAGGCATGCTATTATGTTATGTTATTCTGGTACTAATAATGAATTAACCGGTGCGACGTTACTATTACAAATTTTTAGATGAAAAATTAGTTATTGTGGTATTCGGTCAGTTATATTATGATACGTGGACGTTTATATTAATATCCTCCATTAATGTCTTCTATAAGACTATATACATCCCTTGCATCTATTATTCATAATCTTCACAGCGTAAGCAACACCAATAATGTAAGGAGTTCTTTTTGGTACTTTTTCACACATCGGGTTAACATTACCTTACTAGAAGACAAGCAAACTAAATATGGCCTTGACGGACTAAAATTAAAAGGACTAATATTAATATTCAGCTCTGTGACGTTAGTTTTTGATATATCGAGGGGTAACGGGCTATTTGGTTTAAGCGACATTTTTGCAACTTTACAGGAGAGCCTTTTAAAGTTTGAAATTTTGAAAAAAAATTCATAACAAAAACGCTTCTGCAGATATTTGAACGGGGTAAATTGCATTGAAATTTAAATAAAAATATCTAGTTGCTGATGCTAATTCCAAATAAAGCGGACCTTTAATTACAAAGATAAATGTCGCTTAATACAATCTGCCCTTTTTTAGAGTCAGGAAAAATGATTTAAGTGACTTCATAAGTACAATTGGCTACAAGGGAAAAAAATTAAGCGACGATGCACTCTATTTACAGAGTAAGCCAAAAAGTATGAAGTAACGAAACCCAAAATAAATAGAAGCAAGCTATTTATCTCAACTACCAATTTAGACTAAAATGAGTAACAGGCTAATTTACTTATGTGACATATAACATTGAAATTGTATCGTTAAATGTTTATGTTTATTTACATCTAAGACGATTAATGGCTGATAAAACAACCTGGATATATCGAAACAACCGAAAATCTCAGGTGCTTACATCGGATAAATAAACACAACACAATATCAAAGTATTTATTTAGATTAATAATAACAGTCTGCATAGGAACAACGATTATATTATTATTTATTCAGCAAAATCAGATAAATTAATGGGTTATTTACTGAAATTGCCGTTTTGTATGAAAAAATTTAAACGATTTTTTTCATGTATTTTTTATTTGTATTTATCGAAGTAATCACCCATGTAATCAATGCATCGTTGCCAACGCAGTGGCAGTTTATTGGGCATCAATAAACTGCCACAAAATACTTCTTAAACAAATCAGCTGGACGGGTGGCAACAAATTCTTTAAATGCATTTTGTACTGCCTCTCGGGTAATGAATTTTTTTCCCGCGAAGAAGTTATTCAAATTCTGGAAAAGAAGTAGTCTGGTGAGTAGGGTGGATATTGGAGAGCTTCCAACCCCAGTTCTTGTAACTTGGAGACCATCTGTTGTGCAGCTTTAGGTCGCGCGTTGTAATGCAGGAGCAATGGAGATGAGCGATTGACCAGTGCTGGTTGGAGATGTGTCAGCTTCTCCATCATTGTGTTCAGTTCTTCACATTACACATCCGCAGTAATGCTCACTCCGTTTGGTAAGAACCTGTGATGAATCAGACTGGCGCTAGACCATCAGTGACCATCACTTTTCTAGGAGTAAGTTTTCGTTTCGGGTATTGTTTAGGTGCTGAACTAACTACTACTACAACTATGTTGAGCAGTGCAAGGCACTGCTCGATGCATACTTAGCTCTGGCGATCATTGAGTTTGTGGGACACCCACTTGTCAAGTTTTTTTACCTTGCCAATTTGACGTAAATGGACCAATATTGTTTTGATGCTAACGTCGAAAGCTGTTGCTAAATCAGCCGTAGATTGTATGTCATCAGCTTCCACAATAGCCTATTGTCACCAAAGTCTTCGGACGACCGCGAGGTTGATCTTGAAATTAAAGTACTTAGGATTCAATTTCGATGAGCGTTTTACGTAAACACTGGCGGTGAGTGCGCGTCCCGTCTGTCTTCGACGCATTCTGGAGTGACTGAAGCGCCAGCGCACGATAGTCCAGTTGGATGATCACGATTTTTAACACCCGGGCGATGAAATAAATATAGTATCATATGACATGATTGAAATGTACCATATTAAAATTTAGTGATTTAAAGACCGATTCATATTTTTATGAATACTGGCAAAATGTTTCAATATCCATTATTAATGTTATCATCTGTATAAAACGACATGCATTTTAAAAAAAAGGAGGGCTAAATGATTTATGACTAAACAAAATATCTGAACGAAAACGACTATTTGGTTTAAGTAGCACCCTGCGTGGAAAATAAAAGCAGCTAGAAGTGTTTAAGAGACGAACCATGTCGTATTTGGGTGACGGATAAATGTTTTAAGCGACAACACACCGTGTGATTAGTGGGAAGTCAAAATGATTCAAGTTACTTGCTAGTAAAAATTAGAAACAGGAAAAACGCTTTAACTCATTTTGACTTATTAATTAGAGATAGGGTGACTGGTTTATGTCTCGGTTATTAATATGATGGTATGGTTCAAGTACATAATTTAATAAAAAATGCGAAATCCATGTCGTTTAATACACTGTCACTTTGGAAACAACACGAAAATAGAATTGTTTGAAACGCCAAAAAAGTGCTCCGATTTTAATGAAACCGGCATCAATCGACGGAGAAAAATTCGCTGATTCCGAATATATATATAACTCAATATCGCCCAAAATGTCGCTTAAACCAAATAGCCCGTTACCCCTCGATATGATAAAATACGAATTTAAGTTATCTGAAAATATTTAATTCATGGTTTTCTCTCCTTAGACTGCTGTCATCCTTTTTGCATTCCTTTATGTTAATATCATATAATAACAAAAAAAAAACTAGGCTAAATGCTTTGTAAACTCTATTGTCAAACAAATTCCAGATAACATAGAAATTTATAATGTATATTTATAAAATAATGTCGTGTTGGTTACACTATTTATTACTCTAGAATGGCTTAATAGATTTGGCTGAAAATTAGTGAGCAGGTAACTTAGAACTAAGAGACGGACATAGGATGGAGTTTTTAACCAAGAATTTCCCGAAAATCCTACGGGAACGGGAAAACCGGGATTGCGCGTATAAAGTCGCGGGCAAAAGCTAGTCTTTATAAATAAAATTCTTGTGAGTGTGTATGTCACTGAACTTCTCTCAAGCGACTGGACCGATTTTGATGAATTTTTTTGTGTGTGTTCAAGGAGATCTGGGTATGGTTTAGATTCACAAATCAGCCCGGTAGATGACGCTGCAGTCGGTTTCTAGGTTATTTATCTACCTATTATTACAGGACAACGTCTGTCGGATCAATTAGTAATATTATAAATTTGTGTGGGTCTCTTGTTCGTCCTTCTTACAAGGCAGAACGGAGCTAGAAGTATTTTTTTGATTGGAGGTAGTTGAAAGGATGGAGAGTAACGTAGACTACTTTTTGTC